CTGGTCTACATAGTGAGTTCCAGGACAGCTGGGGCTACAAGGAGACCCTGTCTCAAAAAGACAAAAAGACAAAAAGACAAAAAAAAAAGAAAAGAAAAAAACAACCTATACACTAATTTTTTTAAAATATCTCAGTCAAGGAAAACAATGCAAGGGAGTAGTTCTAGATTAGGAGACTAAGGGACATGACAATGAAAAATACTCAGGCCTACAGCAGACACTAGACCTTGTGGGATAAATCTATAAAAGATGTATTTTGGGACAACTGAAGGAATTTAATCATTGACTATGGATAAGGCAAATGGTATGGTACTCATGTTAGATTTCCTAATTCTAGCAACTATGCCATGGATAAGAGTGTCCTTGTTCTTCAGAAACACATACTCGAGTATTCAGGGTAACGGGTAGCAAATTCCAATTCACTGTCAAATAATTAAAGCAATATGTATAAATTATAAATTTACAAATTATAAATGTTAACCCACACTATCTTTAATACTTCCAAACCACTATGCATAAAGTCTTATAAGGATCACAATGAAAGGTCTAACAATGATGTCTATCCAGGCGAACACTGCTAGTTAAAAGGCTTTTTTTTTTTTTTTTTTTTTTTTTGGTTTTTTTGAGACAGGGTCCCCCCGTAGCACCAGCTGGCCTGGAACTCACTATGTAGACCAGGCTGGCCTTAAACTCACAGAGATCCACCTGCCTCTGCTCCCAGAGTGCTGGGACTAAAGGTGTGTGCTACCATATCTAGCTAAAAGGCACTTCTTTTTGAAGTTTTCAGAGTTTACAGGCTGACAAGATAGCTTAGCAGGTAAAGGCTTTTGCTGCCAAGCCTGATGACCTGAGTCTATTCCCTGGGACCCATGATAGCAGGTGAGAACCAAGTTCCACAAGGTGTCTTTTGACCTCTACATGTGAGCTGTGGCATGCGTGTGCACAGGTGCACACATACAAATAAATGATTAAATAAATGTACTTTTTAATGGGGCTAGAGATATGACTCAGCAGTTAAGGGCACTGGCTGCTCTTGCAAAGGACCTGGGTTCGATTCCCAGCACCCAAATGGCAGCTAACAAGCATTTGAACTCCAGTTCCAGAGGATCCAACACAGTCTTCTGACCTCCTCGGGCACTGAATGACACAGGTGCACTTACATCATGCAAGCAATACACTCATACAAATAAAATTAAAATATAAATATATATATTTTTTTGGGGGGGGTCTTTTTGAGACAGGGTCTCCCTGTAGCCCCAGCTTTCCTGGAACTCACTATGTAGACCAGGCTGGCCTTGAACTCACAGAGATCTGTCTGCCTCTGCCTCCCAAGTGCTGGGATTAAAGGCATGTGCCACCATGCCCAGCATAAAATATTTTTAAAATTTGAATTTTTAAAAAAAGTTGTCACAGTTTACATAACTAGCTAAAAAGCACAGAAGACAAACTGGCTTTAACAAAAACAATCTGACTTTAACCAGAAATCACAAAAATGTACAAATAGTTAATTTTTACTTTCAGAGGTAGAAATATATTCTCAGTAAAGAACAAATGATAAAGATATAAATGAAGACATGTTCTACATCTTTAGCCAATGGAGAAAAGCAGAACGAAATTACATCGGGATTCCATCTCATCCAAGTCAGTCTGGCTTTCATCATGAAAACAACAAATGCTGGCAAGCATGTAGGGGAGAAAGGGACCCTTGTACACTGTTAGGAATGTAAATTAGTACAGCCACCATGAAAATCAGTATGGAGGGTCTCCCCCAAAATCAAAAATGATCCACTGATTCTGCTTCCAAATAAATGTCCAAAGGAATCAAAGTCAGCACAGTATAGAGATACCTGCACATCCACAGTTATCAAAACATTATTTTCGGGGCTGGAGAAGTGAAGAGCACTGGCTGCTTTTGTAGAGGACCTGGGTTCGATTCTTAGCACCCATGTGGCAGCTAACAACTGTCAGTAACTCCAGTTCCAGGGGAATTCAATACCCTCTTCAAATCGCCACAGACATTGCACAATACGGGTACACTTACATACATGCAGACAATACACTCACACACGTAAAAATAATAATCAAATATTAAAAACAAAAACAAAAACCATTGTTTGTAATAGCCAAATTATGCTATCAGCCTCAGTACCCATCAATGGATGAACAGATAAAGAAAATGTGTGTGTACTAAGATGTGTATGTGTGTATTTGTGTGTGCATGTGTGCATATGTATGGAGCATACATATATACTGACACATATAGAGCATTATTTAGACATAAAGAATGAAATTATCGGTGCTGGAGAGATGGCTTAGTAGTTAAGAGCACTGACTGCTCTTGCAGAGGGCCCGGGTTTGATTCCCAGCACCCACATGGCGGCTACAAACTGTCCTTAACTCCAGTTCCAGGGGAATCTGAAGCCCTCTTCTGACCTCCACAGCATTGCAAGACTCAGGTGCACTCACATACATGCAGGCAATACACTCAACACATAAAATAAAAATAATAAAATATTTTTTTAAAAAAGAATGAAATTATCTCAAATGCAAAAAACTGGAGAGAATTGAAGATCATGTTAAGTAAACACCATAGTCATGAGCCTTGGAATCAGATGGCTGCAGCTTCCTGCATGAGTTCTTGGTACTGTTGTTACAATGATCACCCTTCCAAATCTGGGACCACATGCTCTTCAGAGTCCATTCCATCACTCCCAAAAGACCCTGCAGCAACCTCATGGCACTGCCCCAAATTGGGATATTCAATGGCTTCTTCTGTGACAAGATACTGGCAAGTACAATTCTGATGTAATAATGCAGAAATTATACGGACTTAGGATCTCAAAAAGCTATCTTCATATAACACTGTGGTAGACATAGGTGGCAACCCTGATATGGCCATTACCAATGAATTCTCACCATGTGCTCCTGTTCTCTTAGAAGCTGTGACAGACCAAGTTGAGGAATGTGAGACTCACCTATCTGCACTTTGGGCACATATTACTGGCCTATTTTCCTAGGCACTATGAAGTGAGCATCCTCTGTGAAGAACTTCATGAAAGAGTGGTGGACAATGGGCTCTCCTAGTGGGAAAAGGAGCCTCAATATACAACTACCAATATGCTGAATGCCTGGGGAACTCAGCTTAATCTCACCTGAAACCAGCCCAACCAAGACACCAAGGCATAGGTCAAGCACACAACAGATCTGGTTCAAGGGGGTTTTACAAAGATCAGACTTCTATCATCACAGATAGTTGCCAGTCTTGGTGGGAGAGGCCCTGGTCCAGTATTCTAGGTGAATATAAGTGGGGAGATTGTGGAACTGGCAAGGAATCAGAAACAGCACGTTTATTTACCACCTAGAATCTGGACTCCTATTTATTTACCACCTAGAATCTAGTCTCCTTGATGGTCATTACTTTGTTAGCTACAGTGACCAGGATGGACAGTAGTAGGTCCAAAGTACGCTCAAGGAACCCTATTCATTTCAAAGTCAGTTGCCTTTGCCATAGCAGTGGTCGTGTCTTTGGAATAAGGCCTTGGATCAGATCAGTGATTATCACCCCTGACTAAATGTTCATCCATGACAGCAGCTTTAATAGTAGATTCTGTATTTTAGAGGGTGCTCTGAGTCTGGTCAATAACATTCTGATACAGTGCCCAGCAACTACACCTCCTACAAATTTCCTCCTCCAATAAAACTTCTATCTCTTAAAAAGTCTCATAGTCGGGCATGGTGGCACACACTGTTAATCCCAGCGCTCAGGAGGCAGAGGCAGGAGGATCTCTGTTAAGATCAAAGCCTGTCATGTCTACATAGTGAGTTCTAGGCCAGCTGGGGCTACAGGGAGACCGTTTTAAAAAAGACACACACACACAAAAAGTCACAAAATAACATTTGCTCTCCCCCCCCAATTCTATGAGTATGAGTGTTTTGCCTACATGTATGTAAGTACACCCATGCATGCAATGCACATGGAGGCCACAAGAGGGCATTAGATCACCTGGAACTGGAGTTTACATTGTTAGCCATTATGTGGGTGCTGGGAACTGAACCCGGGTCCTTTCTAAGAGCAGTCAGTGTTCTTAACTGTTTAGCCATCTCTCCAGCTGCACATTTGCTCTTGTACATGGAATTTAAGGGTTAAATAAAAGGAAGAGTATCAGGGAGGTAGATGGGGAAAAGCGGGGAAGGAGGATAAGAAAAGGTAATAAAGGGGATGTGACCAAAGCAAATTATCATGTCATAATGAAATCTATGACATTGTATAATAAATACACACTAACAAATACACATAAAAGAAATTCCTTCTCAGCCAGTAAGCCATTTCTTCATAAACATAAAGTATTTTGTTCGAAGGAAGCTTTGTGATTACTTGATCTAACTTCTAGTCAAAAGAGGAGGGTATCACTCAATAATTAAGCATTCTGATTGAAAAATCAGTACAAAATATCAAATTTACCTTTCGTAGCGAATCTCATGAATAACCTATTTCCTTTAGCAAGTTTGTTAGCTGGACGAAGATCATTTCTTAACAAAGACTCTTCTTCTACCTGAGACAGCGTGTCCAACTTAAGAAAAAAAGAACACTTTCAATGTAAAAAGCATTTTTCATACTTTTTCTGTAGATGAGTTACCAATAAGAAAGCATTCTATCTTTTATACCAATCTTCATTACAGAACTAGTTCCTCTGTAGACTTTTGAAGTCCGCTCTTCTCTGACTATTCAAGAATAGTCTCCACAATTGTGTGTGTGCATGTGCTCATGCATATACATGTGTGTCTGTGTGTGTCTGTGTATCTGTTTATGGATTTGTGCATGTCAATACAGTTGCCCAGAGAGGCCAGAAGAGGGTGTTTGAGCCCCTGGGGCTGTGAGCTAGCCAACAAGAGAGCTGGGAACCAAACTCGAGTCCTTTGCAAGAACAATACTCATTGTTAACCACTAAGCCATCTAGCCTCTGTTTTATTTTTAAATTATTTGTGTGTGTGCATCTGTGTGTTGAGTATGTGCATGTATCCAAGGAGGCCAGAAGAATGCATTGGTTTTCCTGGCACTAGAATTGCAGGTGGTTGTGAGCCACCCAATAAGGGGTGTGTTCACTCTTAACTGCTGCGGCACTTCTCCAGTTCCCATCCTTTTTCCCTTTATCCTTTACCCAGATTCACAACACTCACCATCTCCTAACTGTGTATTTGTCTTTCCCACTAGAATGCAGCTTCCAAAGGGGTAAAACTTTGATATGTCCTCGGAATTTGTTATATACTAATCATGTAACATTTAAATATTTAAACTTAAATATATATTAAGTTAGGAAGATAGAAACACAGCACTTGCCCAGCATATCCAAGACCCAGCACTACCCCTCTCCCCCCATACACACAAAATTTTAATACACTTCAACATTTTTAACAAACCCTACTTGCTTTTCTTTAATTTTACTGATTAGGTCACACTTCAACGTATTTCTTAATAAAACCATTTTTTCTTATGCAGAAGTATAAGTACTATTTAAGCACTCGAGATGAACTGTTACATCCACACAAGCTAAAAGGCCAAGAGTCTGTTGCACCCTCAAAAAGTTTCATGGTAAAAGCTAGACAAAGAACACAACTTACTAAGTCTTTACACCTTAATTTAAAAAGACAATAAGCAATTTTTAAAATAAAACCTTATAGATACCTTTGTCCTATAACTAACCTCCACGTCACTTGAATTCTCATCTTCAACTTCTCCTTCTTCAGCTTCCTCATCATCTGAACTGTCTTCATGCTTGTCTAAAATGGGATGTGACAAGATAAACATTAAAGTCACTATCTCATATAATTTTAAAGATCTGGTGTTTTCTATTCCTATTTACTGGTAAGCCAAAGAAAGCATCATCAGTTTGTCTCAGAAACATTTAGCAATGAGATGTTGTATAATTACTTAAACACTCTCCTTAAAAACTCAAAGCCAGGGATGGGTATGGTGGTCCACACCTTTAGTCCCAGCATGTGGGAGACAAAAGCCTGCAGATCTCTGTGAGATTGAGGCCAGCCTGGTCTATGCAGTGAGTTCCAGGCCACCTGGGGCTAAAGGGAGACCCTGTCTAAAAACAAAACAAAACAAAAACTCAAAAGCCCAAAACAGGTCTGTGCAAAGAACAGGGCAGCTGCCTCTTTCGTGCTTCATCACCTTTTTTACTTTTCTCAGATGACTTGTCTTCACTGGCTTCTCTGCTTCTTGCCTTATCCTGGGCTGGCAGAGAGCTCATATTGATAAGGGCTCGTGTGGCTGTCATTTCATCTAGCCAAACCACATTACCTACAATAAAATAGAAAAGAACACATTACACTAGATCCAATGGTAAATTCTTGAGAGCAGATTCAACATTCCATTCACTGCCACAACCTCATGCGGCTGCAGACTGTCATTAGTAAATGGAAAAGACAGCAATGGAAAGAAGCATAAAAGTGGTGGTAAAACCTCCATGAAGAACTTAAGTCTAGGGCTGCATTCTCAAGCTCAATTCTATAAAATAACTGTTATATACTTTATGAAAAAGTATTCCCCAAACAAAAGAACCTGGAATACAATAAATGCTATGTAAGTATTAACAGGTCCTCCACCCCATGGTACTGAAGACTGAATTCAGGGCCTCCAGAGTTTAAATACTCCTGACGCAAGAACTTCACCATGGAGCTATAGCCCCAGTTTTTTTGTTTGTTTTTCGGTCTATTTGAAACAGGCTCTTCCAGTAGCCCCAGCAGGCATGGAACTCATTATATCTCACAGAGATCTGCCTGCCTCTGCCTCTGAGATCAAAGGCATGCACCATCATGCCCAGCTGTTTGTTTTAATGGTCTGTATGTTGTCCAGACTGGCATTGAATTCTGGAGTTCAAGTAATCTGGCTTCAGCTTCCTGAGTAGCTGAACAACAGATGCAACCTACCACATCTGGCTAAATTTTGCAAGGTTTTTTATCTGTTCTGTGGGGTTTTGTTTTTGTGAGATCGGGTCTTATGTAGTCCAGGCTGGCCTCAAACCCACTATATAGCTAAAGATGACCTTGAACATCTAATCCTCCTGCCTCTACTTCCGTAGTGCTGGTTCAGTTTTATGTGGTGCTGGGGATTGATTCCAGGACTTTGTGCTGCTACACAAGGACTCTATCAAATAAGCTACATCCACAGTCCTGTTAGCAGGTCTTGATGAAGTTACTAACTGTCAAATAAACTTATAATCCATTACACTATTGCCCCTAGGGAGCCCTCTGCTAGTCTTTGTCTTCCATACCTGCTAAATGATGTTCTACCATCATGAGGTGTAGGTTGAAGAAGATATTCATGGGATATGGACACTGGAGTATGACAGCCACATGACTTTAAAGTAATTTAATTTAGCAAGAAAAGGATTTGAGAAGCCTGGTAGAAAGCAAGTCTCTTTAACACTGTTTTAAATGGCATTTCTCAAAATTATGTTACCCTTTTATCTCGGTTTGGGAACTAAAGATCTAAAGACTCTCACTTTGGTTAGTAATAGGCCATGTAGCCTTGGGCAAACAATTTCCTTTCTCTGTTTTTCAGTTTCTGATGCACAATATCCAGTTGAACTGGATAACCCTAGGGTCCTTCCTACTCTAACATCCTTTAGCTCTAGTTTTAATGATAAACATCAGGAGTTAGCAAAGTCCAGTCCTCCATCTGTTATTTGCAACACTTATTTATATTACCTGTATTTAGGTATACATACACAACAAACCACAAATCTACCTGGTTTTGTAAAGAAAGTACTACTGGAAAAGAGCCAGATGTGTTAGCTTATACCCTGCCAATAGCCACATTCATGCTACAAAAGCAAAGCTGAACAGATGCTACAGGAACTATATAACATATAAAGTCCAAAACATTTACTATCTGGTCCTTTAAAGAAAAAAGCTTACTGACCCCTGATTTTGAATAGCGTAAGCAAACAGAAACAAAAAAGAAGGAAAAACATTAAACTGTCATATCAAAAGAAGAGCTGAGAAAACCAGCTTCTGTCTCGGGTACTACCTAGTCAGTCAGCCAGCGGGTAGCAAGTAAAGCCAGGCTACCGAAGAGCAGAAGCCAGCAGAGCATTCACCAGAGGTCAGAGGACAAATGGCTCACAAGCTGGCAATTCACAGGTGAGAGCAAGCAGATGACATTCCAGAAAATACAGGGCACAGCAAGTAGAGGTGTGAGGTCTGCTACAGCATCAGAACACTGTGGTGTAGGGCAGAGCTAGGAGAAGGAGCCAACCCCCTAGAAACTGACAGGCAAAGAGCACTGACAATACCCAAAGCACTGGAAACAATCCCAAGTTTCTTCTGGGAAATGGTGGGTATTAAAGAGGCTACAATCATGTAGATTAGACTCGAATACCAGCTACAAACAGTCCAAAGCCTGGGTTCACCACCTCTGTGCTGACTTAGAATACCTGGGGATAGGCACTATGAGGTACTATATGGTAATTTTGTTTTTAAGCATCAATAGTTTGGGCCATGATTTCCTACTATTAGTTAGTCAAGAACACTTTAAAAATTATAAACAAAAGCATACTAAACAGAAAGTGTGGATATACTTACAGGAGGTATCATCCAACCATTCAATGTGTGCCGGAGGATATTCTTTAAAATAGGAAAAGATATCCTGGGTGCTCATCTCATCTACTCCACAAATGTAGATTGTCTCCAGTCTCACTTTGGGGATTGCTAGAAAAACAAGACAGAATTTTCCCACCTGCTAATGTGTATCTTACTAGTACTTTTTTATACAGTTACATTAATATGTGTCTACAAGAAAAATAAGCTGACAGAAACAATAATTATTTCAAAAGAATATAAAGCAAGATGGTAAGGTGAACTGTGTTAACTTACTGAACTACAACATTATATATACATACAGAAATGACAGAAACCCATTGAACTATGCAATGAATACAAATTTTTTTTTTCTTTTCTTTTTTTTCTTTGGTCTTTTTGAGACAGGTCTTCCTGTAGCCCCAGGTGGTCTGGAACTCATTATGTAGACCAGGCTGGCCTCATATTCACAGAGATCCGCCTGCCTCTGCCTCCCAAGTGCTAGGACTCGGTGTGTGCCACCACTCCCAGCCCCCAATACAAATTTTTAAATCTCAGGCAAATAAAACATCCCATATAAAACTGGGTCCCCTGTAATTTCCCTTCCTCCCTCCCTTTTTTGAAGCAATACTGTCACAAATTCAGTTCCCATTACTTCCAAGGTTTTTTTGTTTGTTTGTTTTTGTCTTTTTGAGAGAAGGTCTCCCTGTAGCCCCAGCTGGCCTGTTACTCACCATGTAGGCCAAGGTAGCCTAGATCTTACAGAGATCCTCCTGCCTTGCCTCCAGAGTGCTGGAATTAAAGGCATGTGCCACCAGGCCTAGCCTACTGTATTTTTAACTGATACCTAAAAACAGAAAAATTAGCCAGGCATGGTGACGCATGCCTTTAGTCCCAACACTCAGGAGGCAGAGGCAGGTGGATCTCTGTGAGTTCAAGGCCAGCCTAGTCTACGTAGTGAGTTCCAGGACAGCTGGGGCTACAGGGAGACCCTGTCTCAAAAAGACCAAAAAAAAAAAAAAATTATATATAAACACTTAATATTTCAATATGTGTACAGTTTGTATAATGTTTACATTGGGTTAATGACAGCTATCACCAACAACTCTCATTCCTCAGCTGGGCGTACAAGCTCATGCCTAGCACTCAAGAGGCTGAAACAGACAGAGCAACAAGAGTTCAAACTAGCTTGGGCTACACAATGAGTTTCTGAAGAGCCAGAAAAGCCCTGTCTCAAAAACAAAATAAAACAAAACCTACTAGCTATTATTTCTTTCTTGTGAAAACATTTAAACTCTCAATACTTTTGAAATACACATTATATAACCATTATCTATAATTACCCTACTATGTAATACCACAACCAGAGCTGCTTTTTTTTTTTTCTTTTTTTTTTTTATGGACGGGTAGTGCTTTGAGACAGGGTCTCCCTGTAACCCCAGCTGGCCTGGGATTAAAGCATGTGCCACCAGACCCAGCAAACCAGAGCTTCTTAACTACTAACTATAACTTGGTAAGCACTGATCAACCTGCTCTGATCCCTCTATCCTTCCCACTCTCCCCCGCTTTGGTAACCAGCACTTGACTATCTACTCCTATTGAGTTCATCTTTAGATTTCATGAGTGGGATCACATGATACTTGCCTTTCTGTGTCAGGCTTACATAATGATTTCTACTTGCTTCCACGTTGTCACAAATGACAGGATTTCATTCTTTTTTTACAGCTGAAAAGTATTCCAGTATGTGCAGGTATCACATTTTCTTAATCTATTCAACTGCGGGGAGATGCAGCCCGGAGGTAGAGTGCTTACCTAGCATGTGTAAGGCCTCAGGTTTAAGCTCTAGCACTGCCACCCCCTCTCCCCAAATGGATACTTGTGTTGACTGCCTATCTTGGTTGTGTGAATAATGCTACAATAAACAACAACAAACATTTCTTCACACACTGATTTTCTCTGTATATACACTCCAAAGTGAAGTTGCTGGGTCATATACTAATTCTATTTTTAAATATTTTTGAGGAAACACCACACTGGTTTTCATAGTAATTATACTAATTTACATTTCTACTCACAGTGTGCAAAGGTTCCTGTTACAATCTGAATATGGAATGTCCACTAGAGACTCTTATTTTAAGTGCTTGATCCTGAGCTTGGGGTGCTATTTTGAAGGTTACAGTCTAGAGCCTTCAGGAAGTGGAGACTAGTTGGTGGAACTAGGTCATGAGGCACAGGCCTTTGAAGGTTATCCCCACCTCTGGTTCCAGCCTTTCTCACAATCAAATGGCTCCACATTACCTTCCCTACCATGATAGACAGTGGTTCTCTGAAACCTTGAGCCAAAATAAACCCGTTCTTCCTTAAATTACACCTATCAAGTATTTTGTCATAACAATAAGGAAAGTTCCCTTTTCTCCACATTCTTGTTAGCACTTGTTTATCAACTCAAAATAGATGAGATCATGTCTAATCTTCTGACACTGCAACATGATCTTGTCATCTACAGAATCCATGCTGGAGAACTGCATAATCAAGTTACAAAACAAAACAAAAATCATATACACCGAAAACTCATAATGTTTTAAGTAGGTTTACAGTTTTGCGTGGGATCATATTCATTGCTGTCCTAGGGTACATGTGGCCCACAGGCTATATATAGGTTGGACACACCTGAAAAAGACTTAAATGTAAGACCTGAAATAAATTACTCATAGAAAACAAGGGGAAAGCTTCACATCATATTTCTTTGGATATGATCCCCAAACACAAGAAACAAAACAAAGAAGATGACATCGACCTAAAATCTTTTGAAAAGTATAGAAAATAATCATCAGAATGAAGAGACAGCCCATAAAATAGGAGAAAAAATTTGCAAATTGTACCTCTGACAAGGAGTTACTATCTGGACTTTATAAGGAACTCCAAACACTCAATAGCAAAAAAAGAAGAAGAAAATCCTATTTTAAAAGGGGCAATATGCTGGGCATGGTAGCATACATCTGTAACTGCAGCACTTGGAAGGCTGAGGAGGACTGCCCCAAGCTCAAGGCCAGACAAGGTAAGTTCTAGCCAGGTCTACATAGTGCAAGAAATAGTCTCAAACCAAAACAAGGGGCTGGAGAGATAGCTCAGCAGTTAAGAGCACTGGCTGCTCTTGCAAGAAACCCAGGTTCGATTCCCAGCACCTACATAGCGGCAGTAACTCCAGTTCCAGGAGATCCAACACCCTCTTCTAGTCTCTACAGGCACTTTACAAACATGGTACATTTATGAACAAGCAGACAAAACCCTCATACACATAAAAAATAAATACAGAAAAGCGAATCGTCAAAATAAAGTGCAAAAAGTTCAAACAAAAACAACAAAGGGTTGTTCGTGTAATATCTCAAAAAAAAAAAAAAGATACAGAAATGGTCAAGTATATGAAAGACTGACTATTCAGTATCTCTAACCATCAGGGAAATGTTAAGTCAAGACCACAACAACCTACTACTCAGGAGAATGGCTATCACAAGCATGTTTTTATGCACTATATATTGCCTTTATTTAAAATACATGAATACTTTCCAATTTTTAAAAAATCTAAAATTGTTGCCGGGCATGGTGACGCATGCCTGTAGTACCAGCACTTGGGAGGCAGAGGCAGGTGGATCTCTGTGAGTTCAAGGCCAGCCTGGTCTAGATAGTGAGTTCCAGGACAGCTGGGGCTACAGGGAGGCCCTGCTTCAAAAAGACAAAAAAAAAAATCTAAAATTGGCTGGTTTGCCATTTCATTCTGAAGAATAAGAGATGGGATTAATGGAAGCCCAAGACTCACTTAGGTGAGTACTTGCTTGGCAGTCCAGATTCCTGAGGACAGAGATGCCCTCAGGATTTGTATATCCCAGCGAATTCTCATCAGTGACCAGCAATGCAACACTGAGCAGGGACTCAGGAGCGGAAGGGAAACATACAGTGATTTAGCCCAGGGGTTCTCAGTTCTTTGAGTTAAAAGCTCTGATTTTAGAAGCCATGGGAAGTCAGAGATGGTTCCACAGACTGTAACAAAGAACAAGAGAGCTTGTAGTGAAAGAAGAAAAAGACTGGGTGTTACGGATACAGATTTGTTGATCTAAGAAAATGGACTTAATCTTAAATGAGACAGGCAGAAGAAAAAAGAAAAGGAAATTGAACAAAATAAGTATCAATCATATCACAGTGATATACTATCAAAATATAACTCTAAAAAGAAAAAAACCTACAAGTAAGAAAATAGTTTAAAGACAAAGAAGAATGGGCTGGAGAGATGGCTCAGCAGTTAAGAGCACTGACTGCTCTTGCAGAGGACCTGGGTTCGATTCCCAGCACCCACATGGTGGTTAACAACCACCTGTAGCTCCAGTTCCAGGGGATCTGACAGCCTCTTTTGTCCTCCTCAGACAATGCACAACACGGGTACAATTACACACATACAGGTAATACACTTGTACACATAAAAAAAAAAGACAAAGAAGAGTATAAAGAATAAAAATTGTGGCTAGAGATGTTTATTGACAGTGAACAAATTTGTTCAAAAGAAGCAAGTAAGTGGGGTGTGGTGGCACATGCCTTTAATCCTGGCACTCAGGAGGCAGAGGCAGGTGGATCTCTGAGTTGGAGGCCAGGGTGATCTACATAAAGTCCCATGCTAACCAGAGAAAAGAGAAAAGAGAAAGAAAAAGCAGCAGCAGCAAAAACCAGGCTTTTGCAACTCAAGGTCTGCTGGGCTACAGAGTTAATTCAAGAGGCTAGGCAACTCAGTAAGACCTGATTCAAAATAAAAAGAAGCTGAGGATATAGTTCCATGGTAGAGTGCTTATCTAATATGTACAAGTGGCCGGGGCTTCACCACAAACAAATACATGCAAAGAAGTAGGTAAAAATTTTAAAAAGAGGGGATTTAAAAATATCACTACCGAGCATGGTGGCATGTGCCTTTAATCCCAGCCCTTGGGAGACAGAGGCAGGTGGATCTCTGCAAGATCGAGGCCACCCTGGTTCATGTTGTGACTTCCAGGTACGCTATGACTAGGGAGACCCTGTAAAAAAAATAAATAAATAAAATAAAATAAAAACCAACGAAAAGCCATATATATATATATACATATGCGCAA